AATGTATTTTATCATCCTGTGAGTGCACATGAAGCAAAGTTATTAATCATTCTGTGAGTGTCCATCAAGCAACGTGATTAATCATCATGTGAGTGTACATAAAGCAATGTTATTAATCATCCTGTGAGTGTACACCGAACAATGTTATTATTCATTCTGTGAGTGTACATCAAGCAAAGTTATTAATCATCACGTGAGTGTACATCAAACAATGTTATTAATCATCCTGTGGACCGCCTCCGTGGTCTAGTGGTAGAGCGTCCGCCCGGAGAGCGGTTCAAACCCCGGCCGCCTCATACCAAAAGACGTTAAAAGATGGTACTTGCTGTTACCCTGTCTGGCGCTCGGCATTAAGGGGCTAAACAAAGACTGGTCGGCTCGGAGTCAGTATACTGTGTCTGAGTGGGATATTCATGTTAAACTGCGGCATGGTATCTCAGTGAGCTAGCACTATAAATCGGCATCAGTCCGGACTAGTACAAGCAGCCACACAAACACACACACGTACATGCACGTCGCTATATATGTGCAATAAACCTTGGACGCGACGTTAAACCCCATTTCACCTTACCTCACCTAATCATCCTGTGAGTGTCTATGAAGCAATGTTTCTATCATCACGTGAGTGTACATCAAGCAATGCTATTAATCATCCTGTGAGTGTACATAAATCAATGTATTTTATCATCCTGTGAGTGTCTATGAAGCAAAGTTATTAATCATTCTGTGAGTGTACATCAAGCAATGTTATTAATCATCATGTGAGTGTACGTAAATCAATGTTATTAATCATCCTCTGTGTGTCCATGAAGCAATGTTTCTATCATCACGTGGGTGTACATCAAGCAATGTTATTAATTATCCTGTGAGTGTCCATGAAGCAATGTTTCTATCATCACGTGAGTGTACATAAAGCAATGTTATTAATCATGATGTGAGTGTACATAAATCAGTGTTATTTATCATCCTGTGAGTGTACATAAATCAATGTTATTATTCATGGCCTGAGCGTACAGGAAATATTGGTATTAATCATCCTGTGATTGTTCATGAAGCAATCATATTATTTATGCGAAAGTGTACATGAAGATACGGACACGGGGACTGTTTTGTGTGAGTCGCTATATAAGTTTCGTCCCGGCGATGCGCATGTCCTGAGAACTATGGAACATGTGACGGTATTAATGTGGTCAGCCACACAGGCGGAGTTGATCACGTTTATTACGTCTGTTTCATTTCCAATTTCAGCGACTCTCTACCTACCCGCCTGTCTAGAACAAAGGAAGAACAGACAAACATCGATTTGTCGCCTGAGAACATATATTTTATCTTCTGCATTGAATAAAGTCATTCAAAATATGCATGCCAACATTTCTGTTTAGATTCTGTTCTGTGTGTGATAACTACAAGTGTCTGCAATTCTCCAAACAAACGAAGGGGGCTGAAGTAACTTGTCCGCAGGGACGGCCACGTGAGAACCAATATCCACTTCGTGAATGTTGCTTCCCTACAGAAAGCACAACTGTCCACGTTAAAACAGGAATCAGGTTAAGGAATCTATTTCTGCGATAGTATTCAACAAATGTTGTGTACCATAATGACGATAATACATTAACATATTTCAAATAATACATTTCTTAATTGACAAAAGCGATTATAGTTATGGCCCGTATTTTTAAGGCTATTAAATATCTGAAAATGCCCGCTCAAGCCAGTGCCGTAAATCGAACCAATTAAGAAACAATGGTTTACATTTGGCGTCTATAACCAAGACATAAATCTAAGCGCTACTTAATGATTGTGCGTCAATCAAAATACTTGAAGGATATACGATTGCTCCTTTCTAATGAGTTTATTAGTATTTCGTTAATTGCGATCATTACAGCTGGCTCGCCCGACATCCTGCATCGTCATTATTTACTAACTTCAATCTTCTTTGAAGCACCAGCGATGTAAGATTGAATCATCGAAAGAAAAACTGATCTCATTGTAAATCAATCTTTTCCCGTGTTTACGACTTGCAATAGAAGATATCGGAGTAGAGTTTCTTTTCCTTCACAGACAATTATACGACAAGAAATCCGCGTTATTGATTTTTATGTAGTTTATTATAACGGCTCAGTTTTTACATATTTTCTTTTGTTCTTTGTCATCTAATATCCATAAAAATAATTTAGGTAATTAACGTAACAATTCAAACGCCAAATCTTGCTTTCCAGTGATGCTTATCGGGTTTCTCTTTGACTGTTAACGTGGTTCTTGTTCTTGGCTGAATACAGGCGAAAATTATGTCGGAGAAAACACATAAGGCACTAACACGGGAGTCTTAAGAGATTCTTATTTTGATTGAAGGCCATCGAGAGAATGTAGATAAATAATTGTCTACTTTGCAATATCCAGTAAATAGGAATAGAAATACTCTATATATGACACTTATGAAGGCAATAAACATTACTATTCCTGTGATGCATCCTCTCAGTGTCAGATACCCATTACAGTGACGGTTCGTAACGCCGGCTTCATTTACTCGACATATCACTGAATCAAGGATAGGTTTGGATTACTTTTTGACCCTTTTACGTCAAATTTAGCTTATTGAGTACAGGACATCCATGTTCCAATTTTGTTCCGCTTGAAGTTAGCGTTAAGTAAGGATCTACCATATTTACAAACAAATAATCAGTATGACATCGGCGTCAGACAAACGGAACAGTCTGATCAACTGATGCCTGTTCATGCCAGTATCACCGACACACGTTTAATGAACGACAAATATAATCGTCCTGACGCCTGGGCGACACGTATCAACAGTTTTATTCTCATTGCGCAAATCCTCGACACGGTGACAGGGTTTGGTATCCAGCATCCTAGACTCTCTCGTCTCTACTATATAGCCAACTGGCTCCTGGCACAGTCGTAACGAGAGGTCCACCAACCGAACATTATCACGGAGACGGGCAAGCCAGCACAATTAACAGAGCTTATTATGTTTTTTCTTCTTCATCATCCAAGTATTTCAGTGTCACTCAGAAAGCTGATCATTAGTCGGTAATTTAAGATGGACAATACATCAAGCAATGGCTACGAAGTTGACAGGCTTGGACTGCGGTCTCATTAGTCTCATGGTTCAAGCAGGCCACAAGGCAATGTTCCTTCCAGCAAATATCAGAGATTTATGCTTAATTGAGAGTAATAAACCGCGTATATGCGAAAATAAAACGAAGTCAGTGCGTCAAGTAGAAGACTTGCAGACTCAATAAAAGTCCTCGAGCTACAGGAATAGGGGATTTGCCTCTATTATTCGCCAATCAAATCAATATAGCTTTTGATGAGGGATGTTCCAAACAGAAGGCAAACATAGCGCTCCGTGGACCTTTGAGGCAGTTCCTATCTTGAAATCAATATGATGGGCGCCATTGCGATGTCCCGGAATGCTAAAGACCAGCTGTATTCTATAGCAAATTGATACGTAATTCGCAAGGAGAATATTTTTCAAGAGACGCCATGAAATTCAAACATGGTAATGCTTGTTGAAAAAAGTCATTTAAAGGTTTTGAAAGTCTTGGAAAGCTTTCAATTGAAAGTTGCTTTTTATCTGAACTGACTCTATTCCGTGAGTCATCTGATACCTATTGCTGGGGAACTGATCATCAAATGGGTGTTCTTTCATATTTTTTTTCTGGAGATATAAAAATTAAAGAGGTTTCAAACTATGATTATATCGTTTTGAAATGCACTGATGTCAATCATGTCACAATGACGTTTGAAGGAATTCCCCGTGCACTTTCAGCATGAAACTAATTTGTATAAGTGGTGTGCACTGATAGCGAAAAAAACATAGAATGTAGGTTAAATATCAATCAGACCAAAAACGTCGCATACATATTGTCTGACTGTTTTCGATATTGATATTTATAATGTTGATTCTCGTGTTACCAGATTGGTCTTTAAAAACACGAACAATTTGCAGTTGTCAAGATGGATTATTTTATCCCATGTGTATGAGTGGATACCTTTAGCTGTCCCCGTGGAGATTCAGGGTTAGAATTATAGGTCTTCTATGCTAGTTATAAATATATATTTCATGTCATGCATGAAAAGCACGTCATGCACGTGCACACTGAAGCCAAAGTGAGTGCACGGATAGGGTAACTAATCACTAATGCAATTCCTCCAAGACTGTCAAACAGATGGGGTTGCAATGATACCTGAACGTGGCAGGCCAAACAAAAACGACACCTAGACATAATCGTCTCGTTATTTAATATTATTACGTAATCTACTCCAGTTATCAATAGATAATCCCTTACAATAACACGAAGGCGACTTTCAACATCTACCGTTAAATACGGGTTATATGCAGCCCGACAGAAAGCAAGGCGTCCTGTAAAGGATGTGACCCTTACAGGCGGCAAATATTGGGTAGGGCTAAGCAACACCAGGGACGGGATGTTCGCCAATGGCGTTACATCGTGTTTACTAACGAAACAAGGTTTTGCCTCCGATTCACAGATGGCATGAAACGTTGTTGGCGACGTAGCGGTGTGCAGTATGCCAGGGCAACTGTTGTTGACCATGATCGCTATGGGAACGGTATTGTCATGGTGTGCGGTGGTATCACACATGACAGGCGAACTGATCTGGTTACTGTGATTGGACATTTGATTTGCCTATGTTGACGAAATTGTCCGACCTGTCGTACATTGGATTTATCGACAGAAATTTTGAACAGAAAGATTACAATGTCAGACCACATCGTGCTTATTATCTCCGACGGGAAGGCATACAGACAATGGACTGGACCGCTACGTCCCCTGAAACTCCCACCACAGCATCTGTGGGATGTTCGCGGGCGGAGAGTGTACGCAAGAGACCAGCACCCGCCAACGTGGTCCAGCTTGGAGTACAGATCTCCATTCCTGTTTGAATATATTATGAAACTTAACGTTAAACGTTTAAAGTAACAGATCATTTGCTACAAACCAAAAAGATAATGAACGTGCAGATATCTGTGTTTATTGTCAGGACAATCAACAAGTTTAAGGTACAAGGTTATCATATACATGATCACCAATATGTCACACGTGTAAGCAAATATATAGGTGTAATCAGTCCCGTATTCTGGAGTGAAGCTGAATAATACCTACATTTACTCACATAATTATTTGTAATGATCGTTTAATTACACATAGTTTCATTCAATCCCAAATAATGAATGAATTTATATACATACACATCAAACTTAATTTGTTACTACTAATGAGAAATGACAGCACGCATGACTTAATTTGAATTACTGTTTCTGCGGACTATAATCAATGGCTGATTGCTTCATGTGCACGTGTGTCTTATTTGTAAACACATGTCTAGGAAAAAGCACAGCTGTACAGCTAGTAATGCTTTTACTAGTTTTACGAGAGCGTAATCATCAATGTGGTGGAATTTAAGTAGTGTGTCGTTATACCTATGATCATAGAGTATACATAGGCAATATAAACAAGATATATAATTGTTTTATTCAAATCAATATCCTCATCCCTAACAGTAAAATAACGGATTACTTGAATTGTGACTTTTCGTCTACAACACGTCTGTCTGTTTGTCTTTACATACAGGGTGATCAGCACAGTACACCTACTGTCCCACGCCACCTAGTGTCTTCGTCATCTCGGGGGTTGTCAGGGAAGATGCATTACCGTCGTACGCCAAGTTGCTGAAGCTGATGTCCCTGAGGTTGGGGCGTGGCATGGCAGAGAGACGTGACTGTGGAGAGTCGTAATGCCCTTCCTCCATGAACTTCTTTCTCCGTGCCGGGGCACTTCAACATCGAAAAATACAATAATTGTTTACAATCGTGTTGATGCAGTTATAATTGCCATGCACACTATTTTGATGAATAAAACCATAAAACCACAAGACAATTACATGTACAGCATGGGTGCATGACTGAAGTAAACAATATAAACCTGTGAAATGTGAAAAAAACATAACATTGTCTCTATATTCTGTGACGAATTTGGGAACAACACAAATCTATTTAATTAACCAGTGGTTTCAAATCAAAATATCCACGTGTAATTATGTTTGCAACAGCTGATTTGACGGCAGCTTTACTGTGGATGCGAATATTTGATATAGAAACGTATATTTTTATTGTCTATCTTTGTCGGTGTTTGAAATAATAGTGATAGTGTACACTTATAGGTGTGGTATGGGGTGGTACGGTACATGATGGTATTTAAGTTTTGGGGCGACTTGGACCATTAAAGGTCTATTTGCGCCAAACACATGAAATGGATCTAAACAAATGCAACGTGAGTAATGAAAATGTGATGATCAACCAATCTGCTTCCTGACCTAGTTTATATTTCTAAAACCACAGGTAAACACTATTTCATTTCTGAAAAGTAAATACTTATTCCATAAAAATGCAGATAAGACAAAATAGTAAAACCTATAAAATTTTATTTTTTTAAATACACAATGTATGAAAGTATTAGTTTTCTATAAAATATTGTGCAGATACGAAGTCTAATATTACCCGCTGAAATGAACCATAAAATATGTTGGGACAAAAAATTGAAATTAGATAAAGTGTGCCGTCTTTCTCAAGTACTGCACTACTTAAATTTAGGGGACACGGGTGGCCGAGTCGTCTAAGGCGCCGCGATTCGCTGTGCAGAGTTGCGTCCCTTGGGCACGCCAGAAACCTATGATTGTGGTTCGAATCCCGGTTCGTCCTGATTATGTTTCTTGGTTTGTCAGCACCATACCCGTGCTCGTGGGTTTCACCGAAGTGGCAGACTTCTGAGGCCTGCATCACTACGGGCTTTCCTCCCACATTAAGCCGACACGCCGCGATATAACTGGAATACTGTTGAAAGCGGCGTTAAATCCAACTCACTCACTCTTAAATTTAGTCTGATATGATCTTTGCATTCATTTTAATAATGTTCATAAGGAGTGCATACAGGGAAGACCTCTTTTTCAGCTACACTGCGGTTAGCATTAAAAGACGAAGGCTTGAAATTATGACTTCCTCACGTTTCTTTCCTTCAACGAATTGTCCTATTGGTTTTTACAGAAGGACATACTGATTGCATGTTGTCCCAGCATCGCACGACTGTTGCAGGCTCGTGGTGAAAGAAGTTGCTAAAATGAAGTCGAAACCTTTTGGTTGGGGGCTGACTTCAAATATCGTTACCCCAGGCTTTTGCAAACCAGATTTATCGCAAGTTGGTCTGCTGTCTCATTTCCATGAAGCCCAATTTGAGCTTGAATCCACATAATATCACGCGTTAGATATTTTGAGTTCAAAAAGTGTATACGGCTTTTATATTTCATAGACAAATTCACTTCGAGAACCACTGGCACCAGATTCAGTTGCCATGGAGTCTGCCATACTCATGAACCCATCTTAGAGCTTGAAGAATACTGAGGGATGGTCATTTAGCCTGAAGACACTTGAGATGCAAAAGTCTTCAATCACATATGCCCAGCATCTTTTGAGGCATCAGTAAAAATGTGCGTGAAGTTGGTACACTGTTCAGTTAAGAAATTCTGACATACAGCTTGTATGACATTTGAACTAATGGTTGAATTTAGATTTTAAAAGCCATTGTAAAGGAGAAGCATCTGGAGGAGCAGAGGAGTCAACTGTGTTGCATTGTAAAACTCCATGCCAAGCAGCTCAACCCAAAAGGGGACCTTTTTGCAGCTGAAAATATCTAATCTCGATATAATATTCGAGAGACAGAAGTTCATGACGAAGGCCTAGAGGCATTTCTACACATTCAACTTAGCTGAAACTTAGGTAGTTGTAACAGCAACCGTGCAAGTTCGCAATACTTTGACTGAATGCTATCAAGTTTACACAGATAATATTTTGAAGCAGACATAAATACCTGCGGCCACAGGCAAGCTTTGGTTTTATTAATGATTTATAAAGCAATAACATTGAGGATTTATCTGCACCCCACTTCGTTTTGGCAATGTACTTCAAAAGGTTTATGACCTTATTACATTTGTCCACAACATGATATATGTGAGAATCCCATGCTCAGTCGCTGGATAGAATAAACACCAATACATTTAAACTCGCTTAGAAATTCCATTTTGGGGATTTCCATTTCTGAATTGATTCAGTGACAAACTTGAATTTTCCAAACCGTCTCCAAAGTCACCCGCCATCAGCAAACTGTGCTGCATCTACATTTTATGGTACATTAGAGCAAATATCATTTATCATTATATTGAAAAGCACGGGACAAATAACTAGCATGAAAGGTACCATTTCAATCAAATGCATTCCATTTGTCCAATGCGTACTTGAATATACCTTTCAGAAAGAAACGATCGAATCCTACTGTATATGTTGCCTCTTATCCACAGATTCTGTAATTTGAACAGGGGTCATTGTCTCCACATCACACATGCTTTTTTCAATACCCAGGAGGACGCACAACATATACTGTTAATTGCATAAAGCTCTTTTTGCTTCAGTCTGGCGTCGTACATAATGATCTGTACATGAACGTCCATTTCCAAAGCCTGACTTCATTCTTGAGGGAAGCCTATTGTAACGGTAGTCAGTCAGATATGGTAATAAGATATTTTAATAGCGCTTTATTGTTTCTTCTCATTAGTGGTGAGTATTGTTTTTAGCTCCCTTGGGGTATGGAGCGAGTACCATGCTTTCCGGTGAGAATGGCCTATGTTTATCCGCATTCCGTCAAGATGTTTTACGGATTTCAGGGAATTGGACAACTGTGAGTTCTCTATATTAGAAATTCTGTAAAATAAACATCATGAATACTCAGTTTCTCCGTTCAGAGTTTTCGAAAACATTATAGTAAAACATCGATTGAGTGGAAAGAACGTGTACCGGGAGTAAGTTGAATTTCAATAGTGTCAGCATGGATTTGAATATTGACAATATGAACAATTGTGATGATGATTTAAGTAGCCGTGCGGCTAAACCTACACAAGAATACACTGATTATAAGATTGAACTATGTGTCAAACGTTTCAAATCTGCACTATCTGCATGGCGTCGGCAGGCGAGTAGTGTCATGAAGTTAGTATCTGACAGTGTGGACATATCTGAACTGCGTTCAATTCGTGATTGTTTAGAAGACCGTATGGCAATTGTGTGTAGTGAACATGGGAAACTTACTGAATTCAATTATTCTGATGAACATTTGCTTGCAAAATTTGACGAGATTGAATCAAAACATTTTGATTTAATTAAATCCGTGAGTGATAAACTGTGTGAACTTGAATTTGGTTTGAGTGAACGGAAATTCGCTGACAGCAAATCATGTAAATCTGTAAAGACTAAGTCATCAAAAATGTCTAATGTGTCAAAACTGTATGAGACCAAAATTGCTGCTACAGCCGAAGCTGCAGCATTAAAGACTAAATTGAAATTTCTTGAAGTTGAAAATCATAAGAGAGCTGAGCTTGAAAGGTGTCAAACTGAAATGAAATTATCTATGGCTATGGCACAATTAGAAGCTGTAGAGAAATTAGAAAGTGAAGTGAATGAGGATTCTGTTCATTCTCCTGCTTTATGTCCGGATGGAAAAAACATGTTTGTACCAGATTATATTGACTCAGTTCAGGTTGAGAATCTGACACAAAGTGAAATTAAAGCTCCACATGAGTCATGTGTCAAAAGTGACATTGTGAATGTAGACATAGAATCTGTTCCGATTAAAAACGGTTCAAGACTCGCAAAATGTTCTGTTCAGTCAAAACTCTCAGAATGAAGATTTAATCAAGGCCTTAGCAAATCAGATAAACATTGGGCGTTTACCTCCACCAGAGCCAGGAACTTTCTCTGGGGACCCTCTAATGTACCCAAAATGGAAAAGTGCATTCAATGTCCTCATAGGGAGGCGAGGTATTCCTGAAGGTGAAAAAATCTATTATTTGCAACGCTATCTTGACGGACAAGCCAAAGAGGCTGTCGAGGGATTTTTTCTTTTATCGTCAGAGAATGCATTCAGTGAGGCGATCAAATTGCTTGATGAACGTTTTGGAAACCATTTCATTATTGGAGGTGCGTTTCGTGACCGTCTAGATTCATGGCCGAAACTACCAGCAAGGGATGGTAATGCATTACGTAAGTTTGCAGACTTTCTCAGACAGTGTGAAACAGCAATGTCAAGCGTCAGATCACTAGACATCCTAAATGATGAACGTGAAAATCGTAAGCTTATTCAGAAGCTACCTGATTGGCTCCTCAATTGTTGGAGACGTAAAGTCGCCGAATATAGGGAACAGACATCAGAATTTCCTAAATTCTCAAGATTTGTGACTTTCATTGCTAAGGAAGCAGAAATAATGTGTGATCCTGTCACTTCTTTTCCCTTGGAATTGAAACATGAGAACAAGTCCCGGAACACTCGTGCATCGTCACAGCATCAGACAGCTAAACGACCACATGGTACAGTGTTTGACATAAATCTGAGAGATTCATCTCTAAGCACTGTCACAGGTAAATTAGACAAGAAATCAAATGTGAAATTTGAAACTTGCCTTTTCTGTAAAGGTCAACACAAGCTTGATGATTGTGAGACATTGTTGTCTAAACCTTTGATTGAAAGAAAACAGTTCTTCATAGACAGTCAAGTATGCTTTGGATGTCTCAAGCCAGGACATCTTTCAAAGTTTTGTCAGAACAGGCTAACATGTAAGACATGCTCACGTCTTCATGCTACTATGTTACATGGTGATCTCCCTAAACCTTCTGAGGGGACAAAGCTGAAAGGTATTAGCCATCTCAGTAATGGAAGCAATTCTGTGGATAAGTGC